CCCGCCTCAGGTGTTCTGACCTCCGTGCTTACCACCCTGAAGCTGTTCCTGACCTCCTCCTCCCTCCTGCTGCCTGTCCTACCAGGCACACACCTGCTTCCCCTTTCCTGGAGGGGTCCAGGCCCACCCTCTCCTATACTGGGGGGTCCCGCTCGGCTCACTTCCCGGCATTCTTCTGGTGCCACGTATGACACTGTTCTCCCATTCTTCTGGAACCCTCCCCTCCAGCCCCTCTGATGGCTCCTGTTCAGGTCTCCAGGCTGGCTCTCTGGCCCTCAGCTCCTCTCTCACCCATTCCTCATCCAGGCTCAGGGCTGCAGCTTCTCCCTCTCGGCTGGGGCCTCCTCTCAGCCACCACTTCCCAAATGCCTCAGCCACGCCCCTTCCCTTCCCTGAAAGACCCCCTCCCAGTTCCTCAGTCATGTCGTGGGCACTGCTGTTCTCATTCACCTTGTCCTCCGTTTTTCATTATATTAATTACTGCAACTTTTGTTCTGTTCCCCTCTCCAGACCCTGGTCCTCCCCTGATTTCCTCCCCACCCCCGCCCAAGTCTTTTGTCTCTGTGTGTCCCCTCCCAGCCCAGAGCCTGCCTGGCTAGAACAGCAGCCTTGGGTGGAACCGTACCACCACCACTCGAACACCATCTCAAACTTCCTCAAACCCCCGTCTGCATCCTGCCTCACTTCTCTGAAACCACCATTCATCCCCTTTCCGCCAGTCCTGACTTTTTTGGGTGACAGTTCACGTGATGCATTAGTGCCTGGACTCTGGGTCCACTTTTCCTACTGCCACTTCCTTGCTGTGTGTTCCAGCCAGGTCGCCATCCCCCTCTGAACCTCAGGTGCCTCGTCGTTCAAACTGGGCTGGGGAGAGCATCTCCCTGTAGCAGCACGCAAGTTAACACATGATGACATCTGTGGAGATGTGGAGTGGTGGGCTGGCGTGGACGTGAACAGGAGCTTGAGAATCTGATCTGTTTGTGGGTCTGGAGCTGAAGACTTGGCCACTCTGTAGGCTGAGCCTGGCTGGGCTTGTTGGTTGGTCGGGGACCCAACACACAAAACCTTTCCTGGGACCCCCTTGGCCTCTGGACGAGGCCTGTCAGCCTCAGTGTCCTCAGGGCTTACTGGACCACCCATAAGTGTATGAGTGTGATTCTGAACCGGGCCCCTGTGCCATGGCTGTTCCTGAGCTGCGCCCTGGGTCAGAATTCCTGCAGACCAGACCAGCTGTAGTCGCCCTGGAACCCGGGCTTGGTGGCCCCAGGCAGAGGGTGAGGGTCCCAGTCTGCCCTCCCAACCCTCTCCTTCCCCTGGTTTTCAGTGCTTTCTTCACTGGCTTCCCCGCTGCTTGCTTAATGAACCCACTGTGCCTGTTAGCACAGGGGAGGGGTCTTTAACTCAAAGAGGTGACCTGGGCACTGGGGGGCAGAGAAGGGGAGGTTAGGGCAGAAGGACCCCATGGCTGGCTGGTTGGGCTGGGGCTGGGAAATGGTATGCAGGACGCTACCTGGGTCCTTCTGGCCCCGGGAGTGTGCTCTGTTCAGGCCCTCCTGGCCCAGTGGGGTTGCTGGGTGACTGGGGACCATAGAATCCAGGGTGGGCCTCATTTCACCATTTTTTCTGCTTGGGGACAAAAGCCCTGCTGGCCCTCCTAGGGGTGGCTTGGGGGGTGAGGATTGAGGTTACTGCTTTCCCCTGCCTTGTGTGTTTCCTGGGGAAGTCACCCAGTGGGGCCTTTCCTGTATGAATTGCCCTGGGCTCTAGGCCGCAGAACTGGCTTCGGGGTGGGGGATGTTGGCTGCCCCCACCTACCTCTAACCTTGACTCTTAGTATCTCCCACCCCCCTACCCAAGCAGACCCCTTCCTAGCCGGCCCTGCTGTGTGTCCTGGACACTGAACTCTGTGTCTGCAGGGAATGGGGTCCGAGAAGGTTTGTGCACAGGGCCGTGGACCTGGACTAGAAGGGGAGGTGCACAGCAGGAGGACTCCAGTGGTAACCCGTGCTCGCCCAAGGAGTGAGCTCCCCAGCCCCCAGGCACTCACACCCAGATTTTCAGGCCTCTGGTCTAGGAGACTGAAGTGTGTGGAAGATAGAAGATTCTGGCTTGGGTGGACCCGAGGGGCCTGGGGTCCCTCCTTCATCTGAACTTTGAGTCACAGGAGCTGGCCTCATAGCCCAGAAGTGTGAGGGGCAGGGTCTGCAGATTTCAGTACAGGGTGGACCCTCCTTCCCTCCAGCTTCTGCACCCCTGGCCCAGGCATTGGGCATTTGGTGACCACAGGGTGGTCCTGCTGTTCCCATGCCTTCTGCCATGAGGATTTGCTCGTGGGCTTTTCCACCAGGGAGAGGGGGAGGGTATCACACTCTGTCTCAGGCCTCCCTGGACCACTGTTTCCTCTGCTGAAAAATAGGGCGCCATCCCCCCAGAAGTAGGCCAAAGTGAGCCTGTTAGGAAAACGATGGGGGCTATCTGGACGCACCCCCAGCCCGTGCCCTTGGGACCAGCTGAAGAGTCCTTCACTGTGGCCAGAGGCCCAGACCACACTGGTGGACGAAGCTCAGGCCTCGTGGGAGGGGCTGGAGGCCTTGTTCCCCTAGGCAGGAGGTGTTGGCAATGTCAGGGCGGTCCTTGTTATGGGGCTGGGTGTCTGAGACCTGGGATCCTGCCCTGTGCCCTGTGCCGTCCCTGCGTCAACCCCTGCCCTTGGCCTGTAGTTCCTGCTCATTCTATTGTAGTGGGCAGTCCCGAGATGGGGTCCCCACCAAGCCTGAGTTACTGTGGCCATTCTCTCAACTGAGGAAGTGGGGCTGGGGCCCAGGCCTCCAGGTTCCCACAGTGGGTACATCCCCAGGGCCTGGCATTTCAGGTGCAGGACACAAGAGCCTGGGCAGGGATGGTGGAGGCACCTGGCAGATAGCCCACTATTTACCTGGTGCTGTAGCCAGTGACTTCATTGGATTCTCAGTGTGTCCCTGCAGGTTTTACCGCCGTCCCACAAGCGGGGAAGCAGGTTGAAAGAATTTCAGCAACTTTCCCAGGGGCTCGCGTGGACCCTAGGTCAGAGGCTGGCATGGACCCGGCCGTGCCTGACTGGCCTGTGCTCTCAGCCACAGCTCCCCCAGTCCTGGCCTCCCTCCTGGGAGGCAGTTTCTCTGCCTGAGCAGAGGCTGAGAAGCCAGTTTGGGCTGGAATTGGGTCAGATTTTCCTGTCAGAGCCAGGGAGGAGCCTCCTGGATGCCCCTGGGCCCAGTGGCCCTTGATCCCAAGGCAGATGCAAAATTCTGTGGCCCACACCCCATCTGCCTGTCCGCTGTGGCTGGAGAGCTTTGGGCCTGGGCTGAAGACCTGGCCGCCTGTCCCACCAGTGCCACCGACTAGCTGTGTGGCCCTGGGCAAGTCCCATTACCTCTCTGAGCATCCGTCCCTCAACTGTAGAATGGGAACAATACCACGAATGCTGCTGAGAGTTTTAAATGAGATAACATGGGCAGAGCACCCTCATGAGTCCCCTGGGTGCAGACCCCAGCCTGGGGCTGCCACAGTACTGCCAGAGACCCTTAAGCTTCAGGGACCCCCCCCCTTCCCGACTAGACCCCCCCCCCCCCCACAACA